TAGATGTTAATGTTCTGTTAGCCGCATCACGTTTATTTTTATGCGGTATATAGTTTATGAGGATATTAATGCACTGTTGGTCATGGATTTATAACGTTCCTGGTCAAAAACAGCCCGCTCGAAAACAGCCTGGATTCGGAAAATTGCGCTTCTGTCGAACGACAAGTTAGTGGAATATATCGATAAAGTTTTTACTCCTGCAATTTGTTACAAAAGTTTAGCTAATGGGAAAAATTAATGAAGCCACTATTTCAATTCAGAGAAATGTAGAATAATATAGTGGCACAAAATATTTATTCTTTTAAATATACGTACATCTCTTAAAAAAGTTTCAATTGCAATCACTTTTGTACAATTACTTTGTTTATTCTTATTTATATTCGTTTAAAAGGTAGAAATTACATAGTAAAATAAATAAATTCCTTGCGCAAGTCTCACCGCAGCTCATGAGTCTCGACGTTTCTCGACTACACACTTGTGAAGGCGAAGAGACAAATACTGGCTTACAGTTTAAGCCCGACTATGTCGCCGATAATCCTTTGGAGAACGGGGATCAAGTGAATATAATGCGTTTTATTGTTCGTTTCTTGTTACAAAATCGTCGAGTTAAAGTTGAAATGCAATTCTGGAATTAAACGGCGGTAACGAACTGAAATTGAAATTTCTCATCGGGCACCAACTTATTGCAATTCATCGAATCTGTCCAACCACTACTGACGGATATTATACCCATGGAATATTCTCACGGAATAACTTGGAAAGTATTCCGGCGGTATGTCAAAGAATGTACTAACGGTTGGAATTTTAACCGACGTCTGTCCACTTTGTGCCTTATTAAATAGCGCTGTGAGGTTCACATGGGGAGGAACCTTATTGTATGTAATATACATATATATGTACGCACAGAGGAAAGCGTTTAAAGATACAGCGAAAATTATTTTAAAAATAAGATAAAAAGTAAAAAAAAAACTTCTTTATTAGTCTGCCTTAGTCTTTCTACGTTAAACGTAATTCTGCGAATCCCGTCTAAAAACTTTAGACGTATCTCGACTTCAATTTATCCACTTATTATAAAAGTTTATCGAACTTTGAACCTATACTTGCATACAGAATGTGTAAGATGAAGTAAGAAATGTTAATTCAACAGACAGTATTCCGATGTTATAACGTGTAAAGTTTTACGTACTCGCGAAATCCTCGGCTTCATGAACTTCGAGGCAATTTTGCAATTTTTTTCTCTCGGTGCAGCGTTATACCTTTAAGTTCGCGACCGGATTGCAAATAGTAAAGTAAAAATAGATATTGTGGTAAAATAATCGCGAATATGTGCATGTAGCAGTGATTACTAGTTGTGACAATACAACACACTTCATTGCTAGCATTGCTATTGTATTACTTTCGTATTGTCATTAATATTGCCATCTATTATCTTATGTAATGCCATCTATTACCTCATGTACTGCCACCTATTCTACATAATAATGCCAAGTATTACTAATGTATTGCTATGTATTGATAGCGTATTGCTAATATTGTATTGCCGTAAATGCCGCAATACTAGCAATATATTTTTAAAGAAACGTACACTGATTGCTATAGTGATTGACCCCTCGGTTAATGCGCTAGACGCAATATTCAGTCAAATATCAATATCTCGCGATCGGAAGTAGCGTGGTTAACGCGACGTTAATGCGCCATTTCGCGCTATTGTGTCTGCGCATCGCGCACTTCGGATCTATTTAGAATTTTCTCTTTCGCGCGACATCTAAATCACCGCGCGCAATTTGATCCCTTTTCTTCGCCCGATAACTCTGCCGTTTCTGCGCGGTTAGTCTTGTATGTACGAACAACGTACCAAAGATTCGAACTGCCTGCAGTTACTTCCAGTACGTGGTACCAGAATTGGGTTGGCTTTTTGGTAGCAGCGGTGCCCAACCGCGACTAAATCTTCGCGCGGACAAAGTGCGAGATTACTTTCGCCGATGGTGAATGACTGGGTGCTTGGCGCTTAGACCTCTTCCATCAGCGAATACGGGCTCTCTTTCACTCTTACGCGAAGATGTGTACCCGGCCCCTTAATTGGCTGCAGCGTAATTCCCGTTTTCACTTCTCAATGCAATTCGCCCTCCAAAACACGGCTAATTGCATGATACGGCTGTGAGTAAATACTTATACGTCTGTGATATACTACATTGTGCGGCTGAATTCAATATAGCCGGAGAATATTTTGTGAACTAACATAAGTGATTTATTACGCATAACTTTTGTTTATGAATATCTCAAGGAAGTCATTTTTAAAGCAAAAGTTGTGTATTGGCTCGTATTTAGAAATAAATTATTAGAAATAAGTTTAGAAATAAATTAGAAATAAAAGAGAACAGAGGCCTGCAATAAAATAATCAAATAAGAGATGTTAAAATATAATCATATAATTTAATTTGATAATATTAAAACAAAAATTTTCAATTTTACTAACAATAAGTATGCTTTAGCCGCAAATTTCAAATAGTATATGATATTACTTTAATCAGAAAATATGTAACAGTTTTTTAATAAAGGAGAATTCATGGTATATAATATTAGAAATAAGAAATTATTTCTAAAATCATCGTTATTAACTTTTTCTCTAAAGTTATTTTTAATCCCGAATATAATTTACTCCCTCAACATGTTCTCTAAATCCTTATTATTATAAAATATAATATTTTAAATACTTATCGGCAGTACATTCTCGTTTTATACTCAGACAAATTGCACCACAAATGACTAGCTTTATTGTGATAACAGTTAATTTATTTTTTTTTTTTGAGAATATATAGCAACTTTTATATGAAACGCAGCACGCAGAGCGCGATATATTAAAAGAAATTTAAAACGACGTCGTGTTATTGCATGTAGCGTGGTCACAGAAATGTATCATAGTGTCTGGTAAGAGAAGTAGATAACCAGAGCGATTATTAATGAGCGCGTTTTGTGTGTTGAATGTTATTGTGGTAACGTAAGCAATTTGCAACTTTGTAGAATTGGGGGTATCAAGTATCAGCTGTTACATGATTTACGATACTTTCATAAGTATCGCTGCCTGCCTGTAATTACGTAATCTTTAATGAAAGTACGATGAGAAATGCTGGCATCTTTCCGAGATGGTCGTGGAAACGTGCGGAATTGCGGATATCAAAGGAAAATAGCGATAGCACGAGTTAATTAATTGATTGCGCTGCAAGCACGAAAGGAGGCTGCGCGATCTAAACTATGGCTTCCGTCTAAATTATTGTCGCAATTAAGAGTATAATTGCGATTTCAAACTTATACGTCTGAGTAATGTCGAGTACGCACAAATTACAGCCCGCTCCTCATTATTTTTCGAGGGAAGACAGATGAAAACGTATGTGGTGCTTAATTTACCTTTAGCATACCGTACATTCGAATGAAATAAACATGAACTTTTGTTGCAACCGTTCGAAACAATGAGTCATACGAGTTGTCCGCGCGCGAAGGGTAGGTATAGCGAAAAAATTTGATCCGCTCCCCGAAAACGTTATACGTGGCTATTCGCCGTACGCCCTTATTCAACATTCTTGTGTACGCGCCCCATTATTTTACATTAGCTAATTAAATTTTCAAGTTTCATTTGCGCTAGCGTTAAATCACTCAGCGCAGAATTCCGCAAATGTGTGTGAAACTGTGTGTGAAACGTACACCAAAATATTAAATATGCGCGCACCCGGATTTGAAAAAAATGCCGCACTTTTTAAATACACGTACTCGTTGGGAAAGAGCCACCGAAGGGGAAATTATATTTTTCAATCACGGAGATGTGTATGTATATTTTTATAAGTTACGTAGTTCATAAGGATATGTAAAGCGGTACCGTAAAGTGCTATCTCATTAAGGTGGCCTCATTAACGAGCTCTGCACGCGAAAAAAAATGACTTAGTAATAGTGGCTAAATTTCAATAGCTGAATCAAATTGTTAGCTATAAGAGCTACCGTCTTAGTGTCATTGCTAAGTTCTGGCTATTACAGATAAAAAACATTCACTGTGACAAAAAAATTTATTAACTGAAATTAAAAGCATATATTAGTATAGGCAGCTAAAAAAGATGGCATATCTAAATGGCGTACCTAAATGTCTTATCATACGCATTTAGTACACAGAGCTAAGTTTTATAGTTAAGCGCGAAAATTTGATTTGTAATTGTTTTTGCAATGTGGCACTGCCATATGCACATCTACAGCGCATTTAGCATTTATATTTTGCAGTACACAAGCTATATACTTCAAATATTATTACTCTATTGCTCTATATACTCTATATATTCTATATAAAATAGCATAGTAGATTCGGCTGAATATTATTTGATTTTAGCCGCAAATATTTTTTACTGTATAGCACCTACAATTTAATAACTAATAAATTGAACTTCAGTATTAGCTGTCCCTATTTCATCGACACATCTTAGCTGCCATAGCTATATTTTAGCTTCATTGGCTAATCCTTTTTTTGCATGATGTACAGGTCGTTCGTATAAGACGCACACCGAGAACATGTTACGATATTTTGTCTCCGCACGACTGCCTTCCACACGATTTTCGTCTTCAGACTATGAAATCTTCAATGAGACTATTTTCTGGCAAGAATATTTCGCGATTTCAAGCTGTAAGCTTCGCTCTCGACCCTCGCGTCGTCACTGTCGCCGTCGCCGAAAGTATGTCGCGATCTTCGACGCGTGCGATTCTTGATCAACCGGGAACGAGGATACATCGGCGAGGATGTTCGCGAACGAGCGCGTGGGTGGATAGATTTTGGCACGGCAAGAGAGTGTCGGTGCAGTTAGGCGATCGGGAGACCAGGGTTGCATCCACATTCACTCACTCTCTCTCTCTCTCCGTTTCTCTCTCTCTCTCTCGTTCTCTCCCTTCTCCGCCCACGCTTTCCCGTCTCTCTTTCTCTCTCACCGAGCGCGACTACTGTCGGGAGCACCCAGGCGGGCAGTCAGTGCGTCGTCAGCCTCCGCGTCGTCGCGACGCTCCTCTCTCTCTCTCGTCTCTCTCGGCTCTCTCGGTGGCGTCCGCAGCATCGCGACGCTACGACGCGCTCCGTCGACTATCCCCTATCCCGGGAGAGACGCCGCCGTTAATTTTCATACGATATAGACCAGCGACACGGACTTGGCCGTCGATAACGATCGCAATAGGCGATATAAGAATACAAGTATCTTTTTTTCACGCATCGCCACTTCGAAAGTGTTTTTCGTTCGATCTGCCCAAAGGAAGATAAGGTGCCGATATAGTTACGTTAATTGTAAAAGATAGAAAAATCTAAACATTTTGACTATTTTTTTCCTTTGCTGAAATTTTTAAATATAAATTATTGTATATTAAACGTATTTGTAATTTTTAATTGTAGACATATATTAATTAACATTAATTTATTAATATTTTACACGTGAAATAAATATATAAGTTTTTGAAAATTGAAATTTGAAAAGAAAAAAAATTTATATATCTTTTTTTTTTTACAAAAGCACTTTTTGAGATATAATATCGAAAGATTGAAGGAACTGTGCACAAGTTTTCTTCTTCATTATTTTTCATTGCATATTTTATATCGATGAAAGCGCAGTTCGCAATTTATTACTTCCGCACGAAAAATTCTTTGTTCTCTCGAATAGAAAGAGAAAAAAAGAAAATAATCGAGTGTACGATGGTACATGCATTTTCTACAGAAAAGTTATTAAAGGAACAGCGAAGGCGCCTTCTTGTGTCAACGGGTGAAAAGGGAAACCAAAACGTGAAGTTTTTACAAGATGTGATCCGTCTTGGTGTCTCGATCAAGTGATCTATCGGATCTCACTGCGAAACATACCAGCCTCTCAAGACTTCTCGCCTTCGAAAGTCACGCACTAGCGTTTTTCCTTCTTGCCTTCCGGAGCGTCGCGTACTTACTCAAGCCTTATCGACAGCTTCGTGGATTTACTGCCGAGTACGTATCTAATTGTAGCAATTGAAGCTGAGTCCTCTTATTTAGCATGCCGTATTTGACAGAAAGTATGGCGCGGAGCGAAGCTCCGCAAAACAAGCAATGCGTTTCCGTTAGCTGCGTTAGGGGAAAACAACATTTTTATTCCACAATCAAAGGACCCATTTCTATATACATTTCTATATATATTTCTATATACTCAAGAAGAACAAATAAAGTTGTATCGTTAGCTCTGTGTTTACATGTGTAACTTTACAAAACATGTAATTTACAGTATATGATCGTTATTTTATGTGTAAACATATTCAATGTGTAAATGTAATAAATTTATTTACTACATTATTAAATATATTTTACAATATTTAAAAGAATATAAAGTATATAATATTAAATATATAATATAACGATCAAATTACGATAAAATGTAGATACGTTTAGCCTGTTATAAATTAAAGATTCTCGGGCATTATTTGTAAAAATCAAATTTCTACGATTCATATCATACGTATCTGGTTACAATCCCGTTACAATTGCCCAAAGTGGTTATGATCGTATGTCTTCTTATATTTGATTATAACCGCTATTGGCGTCTGCAGTTGCACTTAAGATATTAAATTACAAACATTGCGTTTGTGTTAAACCGTAAAGAACTGCAAAAGCCAGAAGTTCTTGTCCATATCTTTTTACGATACGAATTAAGAAAAGTAGAATGGTATACCTTATATAAATATAAAAGAAAAGTTACGATAAAATATTATGTTGCACATCATACAATTATTAGGTAATTCTTCTCTGACAGTTACATTCTCCCTGCATAAATTATGTTCATGTTGTTTCATCAATGTTTAAAATAACAAGCTGTAACGGGACAAACATTGATCTTGCGCGAAAGTTCGACATCGATGCCACTATTATTCCATCCGAAGGATACGTAGTTTGGAGATTGATACAAACTATACAACACAAGACATCGTAGCACGACGGATATTGAGCGATATACGCTTGCGGCAGATCCGTGGTTACCAAGTAGTTGGATCGTGTTGTTACTCACAGCTCTCTGACCAAGTTTTCAAAACTTTCTCGGCAAGCATCTTTAATATTAAACGATTTCTTAGATGTGGAGTACGTGGAAGATGAAATCGCAGAAGCTTTTTGTACTTGTTATCTTTAGTGATTTTCCTTTAGCAATTATGATTTTCATTTTTTGATAACCGCTTAACTTTTTGTACTTTCATTTTTTTTTTACGTTCAACAGTAAAGGAAAGGTTTAGCATATCAATGTGAATAAGTAAAGCTACCGTAATAATTTCTCACTTCTGTTTCATTCTGTTTCGTACGTGACAATAAATTTGTCACGTTGAACGCAGATTATATATAAAATTCTATTAAAATATCTTCTGATTTTTACTTTAAATTCAATTTTTTGATCCCGTGTATCTTTTTATGTGATCCCGACTAGAGTAAATCTCCGCTCTAATGCAAAGTTATTGCGTTGGTAAAGTTTCTGATCGTAAGAAGAATGTGACATTCATTTCGGTGTAAATTGAATGGGCGCGATATGAATCTATAAATAACGTAAATGTAATTCCTTAATAAGCTTCTCTTTACGAAATAAGAATAAGGAAATTTCCATCTCAAAGCGATTCATCATTTATAGCGCGAATTATTAATGCAAATCGGAAGTGTGATTTGTATTTCTATAAAAGAAATCGACAAACTTGCTCGTTGATTTCGCCAATTACAATGGGAAGGGATCTCCCATTCTCGTTTCGTGACAAATTCAATATATGCAAATAGCTGCATTCATCGGAAAGCTGCGCTTCAATTTGTACTTGTAAACGCTTCACCTTAATAGTTTTCCAACGGCGTCGCCGCTGATAGCTGGTCGTTTTAAATTGATCGCAGACCCCGCGCGTGATATCCATTTCAGCGAGCCGCGCGAATGGAATTTATTACACTTTTCCACTGTTATCGACGGTAGAGTGGCTTGTCGACAGTATTAAGTGTAATTCGCGCGCGATATGAAGAGCGGAGTAAAAATATCGTAGCGCCTTTATTATCTTTTCTTACCATATACTATTTTTTTTACTCTCTCTTATGAAAGTACCGGTGCGTATACGGCGGCCATTCGCGGATCTCCATTATTGCAACGCGGAAGGTATGTCGCGACATAAGCCTGTTATACGATACACCCACATACACTCCCTTCCGAGCGTTTTAATTAATGATTTTACCGTAAAACGCTCGCGTCGTCTCACCTCGATTCTCGGCGAAACTTGGAGGAGCGAGCCCCATTTTACGAGGCGCGAAATGTGTTTGAGTGAAACGCTTCCACTTCGTATCTACTTCCGAGGAAGCAGCACTGCCAAGAATGTGTCTTATCGGGATTCGACAGAGCTGCTTCTACGGCACATATCTGATAAAATTAAAAAGATTGTATGGAGAGATATAAATCTGTAAGATGTGACATCGATCAGATTCCTACGTTCAAAAATTACGTAATTTTTACGCTCTGTGGATGTTGATATATTTTATACAAATAATTATTCACATAAATAATTTGCAGTTGCAGAAGATGTACAACAATCGATAGTTTCAGAAAATGATAAGTTATACAAAATTATTTTTTGCCTGAAATAATCGAGAGAATGAATGAAAAAAAAAAATTTCGCGCTTTTGCCGAATTTTTAGCTTGATTCAAATATCGGAAAATCTTTGCAGAATTTATATAATGAGACTACAAAAGAGTATAAAATGATGGCATTATATAGGCGCAATTACAGATAGGATATATATATAATTGCTTGCTGGTGACGCGTATGCCGGGGTATTCACCGAGCTGGTATTTCACTGATAATTTTTACGGCTGGAACCGGCGAGCTGCGCTTAAATGGATTATCGCGAGTTTTTATGGATTCGTTGTGTGTGTGCCCGGCGATAGGTAGATAATATAAATTGGCTATGGCTATTAATCGCGACACGTAGCAGTGAGCACTCGGCGTAAACATTTAAGCTAACGATACTATTATCCAAAATCACATTATTCACTATTGTTACGATTGAACTTTCGCTTTTGGATATCTGCTCCTCTAACCTGTGATAACAGAAATGCACGTAAACCTCCTGTATTAGACGTAGAATGTTTTTTTTAAATATAATGAAGTCTCTTTATTTTATTTGAAAATTATTTGTAGTCATTTCAATATTCACGTAAACATCAAGACCTTTTTACGCTCTTTTTTATTTTATTAAAAATATATTTGACAATTTTCATACATATATTATACATATATTATTCATATATGTTTATGTTACATTATTTATTCATTCAAAAATTTATTATTTTCTGTTTTGCGAGTTTAATTTTCTACAAGGACAGAATTCTGAGCTGTTTTCGCGGATACACATTGCAGATGATTATACATGTTCCTCGGTAAGTCTGCTGCTGACAAGACGACTGACATTGGAATTAAACTTCGATTTGATGCAGTTTGCAACATCTTGTAGTTCTGTAACCACGTAGTGATTTAATATATCGACATTTAAACCATTTCGGACTCCGTCTAACGTTTACAATCTCGAATAATTGCTTTGCGGTATTGATTATACTAGAATCCCTGTAGACGTTTCGTTTTCATATTCATATCACGCAATATTTTATAACGCAATCTAAATATGAGACTGTAAGAAAAAAAACATATAGCGACAAAATTTCGCTCTACTGACTTTTAATAACTGAATTGTCATATTTGGACGTCACACCGAGTTTTCATATTTATTTAAGCTGTAATCTGAATTTGGCAGTTGCATGAGAAAGAGCAAATTACGCATGACTATCGCGCACTTTGATGTTACGTACGACCGGAGGAGGAACTAGCATAAAGCAGAAAATTACGCGGTCTGTGGACGTTCATGCGATATAATCAAATAATGCGCGCATATATGCTGGAATTCGCGCGATTGACGTGTGTACAAAATGACATGGAACCGTAATTTTATTTTTTAAAGAATCAGAATTAGTATTAATTAGAAATCCTAATTATTCAATATGATTTTTTGCTGTGTTTATTTATTGAGATAACCGTCGCGGAAAATAACGTTGAAGATAAATTGACCCAACAAATTAAAATTTATTATTATTAACATGGATAATTGTGAATAATGACATTCGTTTAACTAGATATAAATAGAAACGAATTATTGCGACACGAGAAATAATTGAACAAACGTACCGCAAACATGCATTCTTCGCGAATATCAATTATAATTACTTCATTTACGTTAACAACAATTTGAATAAACAATTCGCATTTCAATGAATTACCAATAAATCATAATTTTGTTTCTGCCGCGGACATTAACCCATTTTTTTGTTAAAGTCGAAAACGATGGTCACAAACGCGGAAGCCGTAACGAAGCTCCCACTTTATCTGCTATTTCACTCCGCCGCTATTTCGTTTATTTGCAATTGAAACCTTGCACAACCTTTCGGCTAGTGAATTCGAATATAAAATCGTTGTGTTACAGCGCTACAATTTTATTTCCAATTTCCGCGTGTACACAAATAGGATATCCGGGATAAATCCACTTCCGCGATAAGTTTTGCATAGTTTTGCAAGAGAATATTCGCATTCATTTCGTATTCATCGTATCCATTGCAGAACATTTTCCTCGCGAAGCGAAAAAATTAAACTACGTTACCTGCGCGAACACGGAATATCTTTGTTGCACGCGCTTTCATTGTAATGACACAAAATGGCAATCCATTTTCTACAGGTAAGTATTTACGTTAGTAACCCTCTCCCTCCCCCCTTCCCGCGTTGTTTGTTTCATCATTATTAACGGTGGTCCTAGAAAAGCGTTCTCGGAAAAGTTGAAACTGAATTTTGCAGGAAGATTGTCTGTACTTTATCAGGTTGAGGATTAAAACTCCCCTTTTCCATTGGCTTCTTCGTGCCCGACTAACGATTTCTTCTTCTTCGTTCTCTTTACGTTTTAGTATG